GGCGCGGGAAGAAAGCAAGCGAGAAGAGACCGACCGCGTGACGTGACATGTTGCGTATGAATTTCAGCGACTAGTTTTTCTGTTGCCCTCTCCCCCGTTTGCTGTCGCGTTCAGACTGTCTCTACGGATATCCCTGCCTCTGTGCGAGTTTTGTTTATGTTCCGTCTGTCTTTGGTTTATTTCGTTTCTGTTTTGCTTTTTTACTGGCACGTACTGTTGACCCTTGGGGTCCTTCCGGAAGGCTACCCCCCAGGCTGGTGGTGCGCACGTTCCACTATTTATTTATTTATTTGTTTCTGATTCTTTTGTTTTCTTGTATTTTATCGCTCTGCTAACCCTTGGGGTCCATTTTATTTTGGTAAACCTTTTCTAGGTACGTTAGCCTGTGACCACGGAAATTGACCGAGTCAAGTGCTGGATTAGTACGGAGAGATTGAGACAGAAGGAGGTACTGGATAGAGAGACCGGGATGGTTATCAACGTGACGACAACAACAACAACAACAACAACATACTCCCCACACGGTCCCTCTAAACAGCTTTTTTTTGGCAAAACAAAAAACGTACCCCTAAACGGGCCACACTTTTCGTAAATAATAAACTATTAAAACAGTTTTTTTGCGAAAAAAAACACCGCTATCCCTCGTTTTTTTTTCGCACGCGCGCTTCGCGCGCGGAAAAAACTCCTTAAGAAAAACAATTCAGTCATAACTCCACTACTATAGAGCTTTTATGTGAGAAACAACAACCACAACAACAACAACAACAACAACAACGAAGGGGCGCACACGGAGCCGTTCCTCTGAGCTACTCCTCCACCTCTCCCGGTTTTCGGAGCTAGCCGGCAATTCGGATCCACCCTTTGTGCGATACATTATCATCTCGGATAGTATTTGAGCAGGACGGATTCTAAAGCTGTAGAGAGGCACTGCGCCTGTTCGCTCCTTCCTACTGCTGCTTGAGACTGACTCGGGCCCTCCAAAACTCCGACAGGTGCGAACAAACTCCTTCGTGTGTGGTCGAAGATGAACTGCGTCATTGTACAAGCCCAACATTCCACGATGCACAACATACTTGCTGCTGCCGTCCACCTGTCGCCGCCCTTCCACGTCTTACTGTCCATGACACATCTGCCACTTGATGCGGCAACATATAGACTAGTCTAGGAACAAATCGTACACAGCAGTGAGTACTCCCCTTCGCATACACATACCACGGACCGAGTCTTTGCTATATTTTGGGATTAGTAACCGATTCGAGTTTAATGTGAAGAAAAACAAACGACCGTCAAAACTGCTTAGACTAAAAGCTAGAACAACCTCTCGTTCCCCTCTTGCCACATACAAATGATGTTAATGCATGAAATGATACACTCTGTCTTCACTTACTTGTGGTCCGCGGTCCCTACAAATATATGAGAAAGGTTTGGTCAGTCCTAAACTAGGGAATTGTTTCTCTGCAATACTCTCCCTTCTTCCCCTCGCTCCTCGACAAACTTTTGCTTAGACATGGATTGTAGCGAAGGGGGGGGTCATTCTGGCGAGCAGGGCTAGACTCACCCTCAAGGGATGACCGATACCTTCTTGCTGCTGCGCATCCGCCGCGAGGCGTGTGTGTGGTGGTGGAGTTGGGTCGGCACTGATGGGGTCAGGCGGGAAAATGTAGATGCGCGAGCCTTTCTGGCCGTCGGCGTAGGTAGTGATGCCCATCTCATTTTTGTGCGCCGAGGCAGACACCATCAGAAAGGTGGACGGGCACTATACGGCCCTAGGTTTGCTAGAGGGAGCTGTATTGCCTCAGTAACCTGGCTTCGCCATCAAAGGAGGAGGGAGCAGGTGGCGACGAGCTGAACTAGGCTGGTTGACCATTCGTCCCGAGACCAAGAACCTGGAGTGCAATGAGGGAGAAAGCGAGGAACGGACTGGGAAGGACAGCAACGAGAGCGTAAACGGACGGAGCAGGTCGAGTGGCGTTTTGCTCGGGCTGACTACAGCGGCGCCGGATGGAGCAATGGCACCGGAGCATGCGGGCGACATCGACCCGTGGCGCACGGACAAACATTTCTATCTGTGTTGTCATTTTTTTTTGTTTGGTTTCTGACTTTCCGTGTTGGTTTTGTGTTTTGTGTGATGACATCGTCACCGGCTTTGTTGAGAGACCCGTCAGAGATGGCGTGGCTAACCCGGGTGCATTGGTTATGTGCCTGATCGTGGAAGACCCCTTCAATGTGGAACGATTCTTAGCTATTGTCGATATTTTCACTGCGTGCCTAACGCAGACGATCGGGAGAGATTCGGGTGATGGTCAATTGCTACTATGATGGCTTTGGTTGGTTGTACTTTTTCACTGTACGGCCGCAGACACATTCTGACAGCACTTCAGACAGCAGCTTTGTGCCCCGCCAGCTGCTTGTTCCATGCCTACCATGGTGTTTTTGTACAGACAGCACTTCAGACAGCAGTATGCTGTAGTCGGCACTCTTCCGTTTTGGTATAGAGTGGGACAGGGAGGGGATGATGCTACTGTAGTCGAACGGTGGGACGGACGTGCAGTTCTTCAGTTTTTGGGCACGCACACGGTGCTGCAGGGATTTTTAGGTGTACCTCTTCGGGCTCTTGGATACCTTTTTCTCGTTATACGTGTGCGTGTTCTTTAGATCCTCAGATGGCTCTAGCACTTTCGTGACCACGGGCTGAGAGTCTTTGCTAGATTTTGGCATTTAGCAACTGACATACGGTTTAATGTGAAGACAACAACAACAACAACAACACCGGTGGTTGTTCCGAAGACCAAAAGTACCGGCAAACGCGCTGTCTTCAGGCGCAGGTTTCTGTGGAAAGCGATTTGTAGTTTTGTTTTTGGTTTCTACTACCTATATTCAACCGCAGAAATTGAAAAAAAGCACGGCAATCGATTCCTCTCGACATTCCCCAGGAGGGGTATCTTTTTCCTAATTTCGATTAACAATCTGGTTCGCGAGACATTCCGTTTTTTTCCTAAAACCCTGATTTTCTCCCAGTCTTAAACATTTGTTTCGGAGGGGTAGCCCGAAATTTTCTTAATATTAGTGCGGGGCTGTCAAAAAACATAGTTATACGTTCTGCCGACACACGGGCGAGAGAGGCGACCATGTTGTTGTTGTTGTTGTCTTCACATTTGAAACCATCCCGGTCTCTCTATCCAGTACCTCCTTCTGTCTCAGTCTCTCCGTACAAATCCAGCACTTGACTCGGTCGATTTCCGTGGTCACAGGCTAACGTACCTAGAAAAGATTTACCAAAATAAAATGGACCCCAAGGGTAAGCAGAGCGATAAAATACAAGAAAACAAATAAATCAGAAACAAATAAATAAATAAATAAATAGTGGAACGTGCGCACCACCAGCCTGGGGGGTAGCCTTCCGGAAGGACCCCAAGGGTCAGCAGTTGTCTTCACATTAATAACCATCCCGGTCTCTCTATCCAGTACCTCCTTCTGTCTTAATCTCTCCGTACTAATCCAGCACTGGACTCGGTCAATTTCCGTGGTCACAGGCTAACGTACCTAGAAAAGGTTTACCAAAATAGAATGGACCCCAAGGGTTAGCAGAGCGATAAAATACGAGAAAACAAAAAAAGAATCAGAAACAAATAAATGAAAAAATCGTGGAACGTACGCACCACCAGCCTAGGGGGTAGCCTTCCGGAAGGACCTCAAGGGTCAGCAGTACGTGCCAGTAAAACAACAAAACAAAAAAAAACGAAATAAACTAAAGACAGACGAAGACATAAACAAACTCGCACAGAGACAGGAATATCCGTAGAGACAGTCTGAACGCGACAGCAAACGGGGGAGAGGGCAACAGAAAAACTAGTCGCTGAAATTCAACCGCAACATGTCACGTCACGCGGTCGGTCTCTTCTCGCTTGCTTTCTTCCCGCGCCATTTCCTCCCGCCCCCCTCCCGCCCCGTTGATTGGTGCCGTATCTAGACTAGTTTTGGGCCCGCTGTCTCCTCGTTTGATGGCTCGTTGTCGGCTGGCCTTCTCCTCGCCCTTGTGCCAAGAGGCCATAAACCTCTCAGCTCCCTGTAGCACCCCCGCGTGCCACGGTACCCCCCCCTCCACCTTCGCCGCCTCGTCCCAGTCTGGCTTCGGGATTCCGAAGAAGCTCCGCTTGTCGGGCGTGGAGCCGTGTCTGGCTTCGAACATCTTCAGGTCGTCCTTCAGGCATATCAGCCAGTTCTGCTCCGGGCTTCCCCGGCCCGGGTTCTCCCCTCCCACCAACTCGCCGAACATCAGCCGTTTCGGAAGCCGCCCGTCTGGCTGTCTTGCCACGGCCCCCGCAAAGAGCAGGCGCCGTTGACGGACAGTGGCCTCCACGCTCTGGCAGCCGACCCTCTTCAGCGCCTGGGCGTATGACAGCTGCCGGTAGGTGCCTCGTTTGCGCCGGTAGCCGATGACTCGCAGGAGTAGCCGGTGGTGTGTCGTCTGCAGCATTCCGTAGTGGTTGCGGCGTGGGGACCATGTCATGCAGCCGTATAGCAGTGCCTCCACTGCCTCCGCCTGGAGCAGGCGGGCTTTGAGGCGAAACGGTGCTCCCGGTCGGTCGAAGAGCTCCGTGGCGTATCGCCTAATGCACGCCCACGCTGCTTTGCTCCTGTGGTTGATCTCTCGGGTAAGGTCGCCCTGCTCGTTGACGAGGCCGCCCAGGTATCGGAACTCGGTCGTCTGTGCGTACCTTTGCCCCGCTGCTTCGATGGTCAGCACCGGCGGTGGCGGCGGCGGCGGTCGCTGTCTCTCCTTCACCCGCATCACCAGGGTCTCCGTCTTCCTCTCCGACACCGTCAGCCCGAACTCCCGGAACACCTCCACGATAATGGTCATCATCCTCGCCAGGCCGTCGGCGGACTTCGACACAACGCCGGCATCGTCGGCATATAGCATCCCCCACACCGCCCTCCGGACTCGGTCCAGCAATCCCCCCCCCCTCCGTTCCTCCTCCTTCAAGTACACTAGGTCCCGCACGATAACCTCATCTTGGCTGAACCGTGTGACAATGATCTCGAGAGGCGCTGCGAAGAAGACGTTGAACAGCAGTGGGGACATTGAGCACCCTTGTCGTAATCCCTGCGTGACCGGGAACCAGTCCGATAGCTCCCCATCGTCCGTGCGGACCCGGGCCCGCATTCCGACGTGGAACTTGCGGATGACGGCGATCATCTCCCCGGGGATCCCGGCCCGGGCCAGCACCTTCCACAGTAGCTCCCGGTCCACCGAGTCATATGCCTTCTGCAGATCGATGAAGCACATGTAGAGCGGGATTCTCCTCCTCCGCCCCAGCTCCTGGAGTCGGCGCACAACGAACAGCATGCATACCGTGGATCGGCCAGGCCGGAACCCGCACTGTTCCTCCGGGAGGATTTCGTTGGCTTCGCAGAATGCGCTCAGGCGGTTGGTGATGGTCTTGGCGAGTACTTTGCCTACATGCGAGAGCAGCGAGATGCCCCTGTAGTTGTTGCAGTTCGAACGGTCACCCTTCTTGTACAGCACCTTAATGATGGCATCCTTCCACTCCTGCGGCATCTCTCCCCCATTCCACACTTCGACGAAGATGGCACGGAGGCGCTCCAGTACAACTGGCTCGTCGTCGCCGTCGACCTTGAGCAGTTCGGCGGCAAGGAGGTCGGGACCAACCGCCTTCCAGTTCCCCAGGCCTTTCGTCGCCGCCTCAACCTCCTCGAGGTCTGGTACCGCCGCCAGGTGTCGGGTGGCGCGCGTCGCTGGTCGCTGCATCACCTGTTCGACAACGTCTGGGTTCAGAGTGGGGGACTTGGAGTTCAGGAGGGTATCGAAGAATCTCCGCCACCGCTTGAGGATGGCATTCTTGTTCCGGAGCAGCACGCCGTTCTCATCTGTAACGAACTGCTGCCCCCCAGCTTGTCTCCCGCTGAGGCCCGTTTAGCAGTACAGTACGTGCCAGCGAAAAAACCCCACTGTATTTAACACCCACATGTCGGTGATGAAACCCCAACCACACGCTTCTTGTCCGTGAGGTGGATTATTATATGTCATCCTTACGAACGCTACTGCGGTAGTACTCACGTATGGTTCGAGAGCGAAAAGATGTGCAAGTGACCGTTCGACAGAGGCTATTGTTGTAGTACTCATGTACTTCGAAGTATGGTTTGAGAGCGAGAAAGGGTGCAAGTGACCGTTCGACAGCCGTGGATCTTCGGGGTATCTCCCGACGTGTCTTCGGTGGTTGGAGTTGTTCCTATAGTTGCGGAAAGTCTATGCGTCTTCACGTCGGTGAATTTCTTGCGACTGTTGCTTGATGCTTTGTGGCGCACGTGGCGCCCACTCCCTGCTGTTTCTTGCCTACGAGGGCAACCTAATAAACGACTTTACCTTATATTCCTGTCAACCGGGTCAGCCGTGCTTATCCAGCAGTTCTAGGCCTGAAACTAATCAACACTTCTATCGGCTGCCACGGCAGGAGGCAATGATGAGATTATGTTCCCCCGCGCCGCACATGCCCATTTACATTGCACAAAAAATAAGTTGATGCCGAAAATATACACACCCCGAGACGCACTTGCTCCGCAACATGAGGGTGCCATAATAGAACACCCGACAAACCAAGTTCCCCTAAATCTTCCGTCTACAACTTCCCAACAGAACATAGACTACAGATAGATACACAAGATGGCTACCAAACTGCCTTGTTGAGCCTGTTGCCCATAGGGGAGATATCGTTGTATGCTGTCTGGGAAACCGTAGACATACAGGTAGCTTTTCGCTCACGCTATGGATTCATCGCTTATCTATCTTAGACTTATTTCTATAGACTAGATAGAGATGGATTTGTTGCGTGATGCTTCAAAAGTAACAAAAAAACGCGTGCGGCTTAAGCCCTATTTGCCCAAAAACCCAAATTGGTTAATCCGATTTAGGTATGAAGTCTAGGTGGCAAAAATAAACGTCAATATACGGCTCTACCACACGTGTTGCTCCCCCGTGGAAAAGTCTACATTTTTTATTACTATGCAGACATTACAAATCCTGGAATCACATCCCCGGCATGGCTCACGAGGAAATGGCACAGGCAGGAGGCGGAAGCGTCCGCGAAGCGCCAGTGCGCGTGGGAAGCAGAAGCAGAGAGTACGGCCATGTCAGGACCGAAGAGAAAGATAGTGGGGGAAGCGGCGGTGGGGGGGAAGCAACGGCGACCGGGCACTGCTGTAGAAGCGAGTAGGGCGGCCGAGGCAGCACTTGTGGCGAACTATGTTGTTGTTGTTGTTGTTGTTGTTGTTGTTGTTGTTGTTGTTGTTGTTTCTCACATTAGCTCTATAGCCCACGAAAAATGGGGAGCCCGTGGTCTCGAAACCCGGCACATACGACGCCGCGAGAAAACAAAAGAAACTAAAATAGGGTACAAACCACTCGGAAAAAGAAAACAAAATGATAGAAATAAAGAACAGGTATCGCACCGGCCGTTCGAGAAAAGAGCCCTCGGACACCGATCAAAATAAAAACAACAAAAAAATAAAGGAGGACGCTTGCCACACCCGCCGAAAGAAAAAATCAAAGGGTAACGTACCAGCACCACCCACCACGCACCAGGGCATGGGAGTAACGGAGCAAACAGGACAAAGAGGCGGCAGATGGGCAGACAGCCAGAAGCTGCCTCGGCCGCCCTACTCGCTTCTACAGCAGTGCCCGGTCGCCGTTTCTTCCCCCCTACCGCCGCTTCCCCGGTTCCCTTTCTCTTCGGTCCTGAGATCATGTACCCGGCTGATGTGGTTGCGCCCTGTTTCCCTCTCTGATGTATCCTATAGTCTAGACTACTCCTTTGTGCATGTCCTTTGTATTGCCGTTGGCCTCTGTCCTGGGTTTCTTTTTTTCATGACCTCCCTGCCTACTCTGCTGTGTTGGGTACCTTGATCTCGCTTTGCTGTTGCCTTTGTTTTTGTACGTCTGGCTGTCTGCCCATCTGCCGCCTCTTTGTCCTGTTTGCTCCGTTACACGTAGTGCCTGGTGCTGGTACGTTACCCTTTTGATTTTTTCTTTAGGCGGTGCGGGAAGCGTCCTCTATTTTTTGTTTTATTTGGATCGGTTTCCGAGAACTCTTTCCTTGAACGGATCGTACCTGTTATTTTCTTTGAAGTAGTACCATTGTGCTTTCTTGTTCCGAGAGGTTTGCACCCTATTTTTTTTTGTTTCCCCGCGGCGTCGTTTGTGCCGGGTTTTGAGACCACGGGCTTTCCATTTTTTGGGTGGACAAGAGCTATAATAATGTGAGAAACAACAACAAACAATCCCCTGGCGGTCTCTCCGCATACACTCTATCTCTCGCTGTAGTGCTGATCCCTATCACACAATCGTGCACATCCGACCTGCCTTGCCCACACATGTAGACGCCCACACCCCGAAATCTGTCAGGTTTGGTTGAGGTTAGGTGTTCAGCAAACGACATTGAAAGTTCGTTGCGTGCTTCCAGGCTTGGATTTCGAAGTATGACGTTGTCGGAGGTACGCATGATGATCGCTGTTGAGGCCTATCTTTTGACCACGCTGCTGACTAGATAACTTGAGCATAGACTTGCATTTGGGACGGCTTTCGCAGGCCAACTGCGTTCCCTGCAGTGCTGATCCCCAATCGTGCACATCAGAACATCGTTCTATGGTCTTCGATCTCCACTATGGTCAAGTGTCGGCAATCCTAGGAAAGTTGGCTCACACGAGCTGAAAAGGTTGCGCGCAGCAGCAGCAAGCTGGTTCAACTCAGATGTGACCGTGAGGCATTTCTCGCGTTCAAAGCGAAATCAAATGGTGAAAACTGGTTTCCGATAGAGGGTATGACCTGCGTGAGGTGCCTGTGTACTTCGGTGGCACGCCGAGGTCTGTGTGGGGAGCACGAGGTGGTGAAAGGACTGGGGCCAAACCATGTCCAATCGGGGGAGGGGGGGGGGGGGGGAGGGTACTCATTGTCGTGCATGCCGTAGTCGTTAGACCATTGACCTCGCATCCCTACAAAGCC